GATGGTGAGAAGTTAGACGTAGTCGAGAAGTTCGTGTATCTGGGTAGCTACATAAGTGCTGCTGGTGGCGTGAGTGATGAGATCAATGCACGTATAGTGAAAGCCAGAGCGGCTTATGCCAATCTGGACCATCTTTGGCGCCTTCGTGATGTTAGTCTGGCTGTAAAAGGTCGGATCTACGACGCTTCGGTGAGAGCAGATCTGCTCTATGCTTGTGAAACCTGGTCTCTCCGAGTTGAGGACGTTAGACGACTCTCTTTGTTTGATCATCGCTGTCTCCGAAGGATTGCAGACATCCAGTGGCAACATCATGTCAGTAATGCAGAGGTTCGGCATCGTGTGTTCGGGCACAGAGACGATAATGCGATTGGTGTCACTATCTTGAAACACCAAATTCGGTAGCTTGGACATGTTCTACGAATGTCGTCCCAGAGAATTCCACGTCGTGCATTATTTGCCGACTCTGGGACTGGTTGAAAAAAGCGGAGAGGTGGTCAGTATATGACATGGTGTCGTGGCATGAAAGAAAGCTGCAAAAGACTGGCTTGTGTTGGTCCTTCACGACTCCCTGTTTGGGGTCTGAGAGATGGTGCGACACAGTGGCTAGAGACGTTATCAGATATGGCTCAGAATAGAAGCCAATGGCTATCCTGCTGTAACCTTCTTTTACTTTCTTCATAAAAAGTGGTTGTGTCTCCCTTAACTGAAAGATTTCTTCTGCTTGTAACTTTCTGTCCCGCCATTTTTACCATTATTATTATTACACCACCTTACATCAATCTTTTTTCTCCTTCCCCTTAAATTCTCATTGTTCTGTGTGGCGCATATATATTTGGCGCATTCTTGTACCAATATTTATGTGTTCAAATAATAATAATAATAATAATAATAATAATAATAATAATAATAATGAAGAGAACACCTTAAGAGTTGACATGATTTCCCTCTAGTCCATTCTTTGCAAGAAACAATAAGAAACTACATTGAGACCCATCTAATATATATATGGTCCAAAACATTTTTGTTTGAAGACATTTGGCAGATGAACAGTCAAAACAAATAGTTACGAATGAGATAAGCACCAACGGGGAATTTGTACAACATAACTCGTTTTATCCTGAGCATTATTTGCTATAAGCAAACATACAGTATCGAACGAAGTTATTTATATTGGTGAAATCATCATATTTATCTGAATTCGAACAGTACCGAGTCAGATAATTTGACAGCTCATTAGTAACTTGATATTCACCACTCAACAGATTTGTTACAATTGAGTAATTAATTCTTAATCAAATATATCACGAAAATCCATTGATAACCTGAACGGTACTCGGACTTATTTTTGCGGTTGAGTTGGTCATTTAAAAAAATGTGTACTTTGCCGATGAGTGGCAAATCACACGAAATCTAGATCCACAGCTTCCCGTCGACTACCAGCAACTACCACCTTACGCATACCAAGTGTTATGTTGGTTCCTAACAAATACACAAACTTCAATAATATGAGTGGAGATTTATCGTATATACATTAAACAACTATTTTATCACGCAAATTAATGAATATCTGCCCTGTGGTCCGAAGGTTAAGGGCTTACCCTGAAGTCTGGTCTTGTATTCGATCCCCTGTGTAATTGCCGATAAGCACTACTGATAATTCCCATACTGTGGCAAAACGACTACTTACTGCTTCCTAGTTTTAAATAATTATCTAAATAAGATCAGTCCGTGCTGTAAATTATGAAATTCACTAATCTCTACAACACTTTATTATAATGGTTACATTAACTCAATGTCCCTTTCCTCAAAATCATTCATTCTTTTTTCCTTGGAGATCTTTAACATGAAATATTAGCTCATAAAAATCCCTTGAAAATACTCAAAAGATGACTTTTGTTATAAAGTACGGTGACAAGACGGATAAAAGCAATTTCACTAGAAATGATAAGGGAAAACAACTGTATATCATATTTATCTACGTATAACACAGTATTTCCACGACGTTTCTATTGTTCATATTGCATAGTTTTTTATTATTAGAAGTGTGTTGACCAGCTCCCGTCAAAATGAGTTTCATGAATGAATATCTTCATACTCCTTGCGTTCTTACTCTGATTACTTGATACTGAAAATCTACCGAAAAATACAAACACTTTCAATCCCCAACACCTGTTTATCAAATAGTCGCAATCGTAACTCTTTATCCTATTAGATAACCTTTCGACATTTAGATCGATGACTCGAGATATAGTAGCAACAATATTGGTACTAAGATGAATCCAACCGGTTTATCCTACGTAAAATGAGACAGGCAATATACAATTCAATGCTAGACAATAACAAAGATATCAACAAAATAACTGATATCTCCAGCTATCCAAAAACTGGATGATCTGTTGCATAATTTTTGAATAAACCAGAGAAAGCTTTGAGAATTAGTAAAGAACTCTTCCTACCTCTGCTTTACTTTCCATTTATTGGGCATAGTAATCTGAACTTGATATATTTCCCGAAACGAATGATGTGTAGCATAAATGTGTTACAAATTTAAGGAATCTCAAATTCCATGTGGATGATTTTCTAATACCCATAAACAAATAAGCTTATTTTCACATAATCGTGGAGATTTGGTCAGTGGTAAAGTATACTTGGTATTAAGTTGATTCATAAGTTAGCACCAAATTAAACACGTAAGACATCATATTAGCATTTCGAAAACAAAATCTTGAGAAAGAAGTATATTTTAAGATAGCTTATTACAACTGCACAACATATGCTACAAGTCTGATCAGCCCTAATGGGTTGGTATCGGACGAAATCTCAGCACGGATTCGAAAAGCTCGTTTGGCTTTTGCCAACTTACGTCACCTGTGGCGAAGGCGAGATATCCGTCTATCAATAAAAGGACGAGTATACTGCGCGGCAGTCCGTTCTGTTTTACTTTACGGTAGCGAAACATGGCCATTAAGAGTAGAAGACACTCGCAAGCTGCTAGTATTTGACCACAGATGCCTTAGAAGTATTGCTGGCGTCTGCTGGGATAATCGGGTAAGTAATAGTGAGGTTAGACGCAGGGTATTAGGAAAGGATGGTAAATCAGTTGATGAGGTTATGAATCTTCATCGACTGAGATGGTTGGGCCACGTGTTACGTATGCCTGAACACCGATTACCACGACGTGCAATGCTATCCGGTGTAGGGGATGGTTGGAAGAAAGTTAGGGGCGGCCAAACCAAAACGTGGCATCAGTGCTTGAAGTCACTAACTTCTAGTCTGAGCCATGTTGGTAGATGCAGACTACTTGGTTGGGGTCCGCGTGACTATCGTAACCAATGGTTGGAGACTCTTGGTGACATGGCTCAGAATCGATCACAATGGCGTAGGTGTATACACTCGGTTTCTTCCCTTATACTAAGAGATTAAAAGCGCTTCATATCTTTCTTTCTACTAACCAATTCTTTCTTCTTGTACTATATCTCTATATGCAATCTTTCTCTTATATATTACCACCTTTTACCTAACCACTGTTATGAATCCGGTGTTCATCTTGTTGTGCTGATGCGGTATGGCAACCTGGACCGATGCACATAAGTGCATGGTTCTACGTTGTAGCTGACTGACTGATGCTACAATGTGTTAAAATAATGAAACGGTTTCGATACAAATACCATTCAGGAGTTGGATAAATGGTTTAACTAACTCTTCATAAACAATGTGACTGGCTCTACAGGAACAGATCAACTGATCATTAAACCAGATATCTGTTGGCTAAAGAATAATTATCATAAGCTGGCAGCGAACAACCACTTAATCCTGTTACATTTTTGCCGAAAACGTTTGCATTCAAATCCTAGTCTCAGAACGGTAACCTCCTGAGTACTTTTACTTTTTGTCATGAGCTTCAATAAATACTTATCTTTATCGAGTGAATAATACAAGGTGCAATCACAAAAAATTTCAGTCTACTTGATATGCAACTAATTCGACTTCCTATAAACGCTCCACGTCAGTGGTTCATAAACCACTTCCTAATACATAAAAACATTGCTCATAGTCTTACGCTCCATAATTGTTGTTTAGCGGACAGGAAATATAACATATTTAACGAAAAATCCTAACTTCAAATAGTCATTAGTAAATAGAATTCGACTTTTAATAATGGAATATCTTGTAGCTATTTATATAAGACAGACCTTACGGTAAACTAGGGTATTTACATTTGAAACTAACAAGATGATCACTTGACTAACAAAGAGTGAATATACTTAGCGCATCCATTTGTACCACTTTGAAGCTTTAAAACATGGACTGTCAAAATAAGAAAGCATGTACAAATTGCAATTATTTGACCATATACGTCTTTGAAGTGTTGTCTGCATAGAATACAACCGACAAGTTACTAGTAGAGTAAAAGTAGGATTTAAGGTAGAGATAAAAAGTCAGTTGATCAGGTAGTTTTGACATATGTTGCATAGTCCATGCTAATTCTCTATTCTGATCAGCTATGTTGGCCAAAAGACGTAAACGTCAGATGGTCCAGGACGACCAACTAAAGATATCAGTCCATGAAGTTCAAAATACTAGGTACCTACGTATGTGGTCACTTGAACCACAATAGACCCACGGGATAACAGAAATACACAAAACTCTAGCTATTCCTGAAAGATCTCACAACTGACCTGATAGTTTTAAGTATTCAATAACTTCCATATCATGGTTACATGAAGATAGTTACATCCACAAGCTGTTGACTTGAGACTTGGCTGCAGCACTACATGCCTATAGTGAGATATCTTGGGACAAGGTTTAGAAATTACGATTATTCTTTTAAAAAGGTAAGGTAATGAGATATAATTATCTGTAAGAATGTTTTATTATATATTCTTTTGTGCCATTTCCCCAAAGTTTACTATGGTGGCTTCCCCAAAATTGGGAGATTGGGATACTATCATGAAAAGTATTGCTATAGGAATAAGACGAACTGTAGACCAAAAACACAGTTTAACATCACGAAACTTTTTATTCTAGTGCCAAAGCTAAAGTGAACATGAAACACTGTGTGGTCGCTGGTCAGTTGTACAGGTGTGCATTGCTCTCAGTTAATTCAACATCTTCAGCTCGTTTAACTAGATATTAGAAATTCCAACAACACAACTTACCTACGTACATTTTTTTATACTTATAGGCTTCTTCTGGTCCCAGAGCACATCTATGGATATGCTTTTTAATCGATAAGTATACACCTTAATAACCAAAAGCATAAAATAAAGATATGAAACTTACATACTGACGTTAGAGGTACCATATACACATAATGAGGGTATTTATTAAGTGCGGATATCCAGAAATTTTTAACTACAATAAGAATATAGGTCAGCTAATTATTTATCCTCACAGCTTAGTTTTAAGTTCATGACTTCTAAACAGCCACATAAAGTGAAGGTCTTTAGGTATTCAATATCAAATGGTTCAAATGGTTGTGGAGGAATAAAAGAAGCCTAATTGGCTAAAATTGTCGTAGATGGAATGAAAGACCATGCTTGAATAACTTCTATATCGAATAACAATGAGTTGGAGATACTTAAAACTAAGGACCTAGGTATACGATATCGACAAAAATAAAAGAGGTTTTGGTAAGTCTATATGGTTCAAATGATTCTGGTCGGAATATAAGAAGCTTCTGCTTAACAGGATTCCGTATTTGATAGTAGCGGATTACCGATACCTCCAGGTAAGAACCTAGGTATGCTCATCGACAAAAGAGAAAAAAGTTAGTAAACTATTGAGAGATAATGTCCTTAGTTCTTAAGAATATGTCAAGTTTTCCTTCGAAAAACTCCCAAGAAGCACTTAAACTAGCTCAGCCGTCAGCGAATTCAAAAATTTGATTACTCTCAAGGAGTAGAATTTGTGTCTATAACTTCTTTCTGTTGCGTCACCAGTTTCTGAGTTTTACCCCCAAAGCATGAGAGAATCCCCAGAAGTGCTTAGAATGTTATAAGTCCCTAAAATTTCACTTTTAGAACTCCTGTACTCTGATGGAAGTGCTATTCTTAAGATTTGGATTCGAGTCCTCAAAATAAATTCTTGGCTCGCTGTTGTAAGCGTTCCACAGCGTCTTTATCCTTTTGGAGTGAGGGGGGTAACACTCTGTTACCATACTCTAAATCGGGACGAATAAAACTGCTGAAGAAAGTACGGAACGTTCTTCCATCGAACTGGCCGAAAATGCCGTTCAACGTTACCAGCTCAATGTTTGCTCATAAGGTATTTCTGTCTCAGTTGGTGTCAGACTTCAGATTATAAGATACCAACACTTCTAGATTATTTTTGTTAGGTCCCGATAAACATGATGGATGGTAACTTTGGGATCGTTTTATCGGCCAATACTAAACGTATATTTTTATCGTATAATTGATAAATAACTAAACTATTCATATTCATGTTTCTCTTACTATAAGCTTTATTTTGACCTATGAACCATTATTATACGTTTTACCACTCTTGAGTTATTCCCTGTCTATTAGTTGCTGCCTCCCACATTCACAGCCACATTTGGCCAAATTTTGTACAAATGTTATTTTCTATTTTATGCTACATTGTGGACTGTTTGAGTGGTATATAAAGTCAGTATGTTTGAAATGTAAGGATTAATATTGCAGAGCTGAGATCAGTGCTCTGAACTTAACTGGCTGGGCTAGGCGGGAAGCAGGACCAATCGGGACTCTAGACTGCTAGCACTTGTTTTACGCATCCTTGGTCCGATCGACAATTCGCTGCTTCTGATTGATGGCTTTGGGCTATAAAAATTTTCAGCTTGGGGTACCTCCAGAAAGGAGCTACCTAAATCGCATTCATAGTCTCCAACATGTCTCAGATGGACTGTTTTGTACTTTAAAGTGTTAAACGTAAGTTCATTGTCCTCTTCTCAAATTGAAAGTCGGTTCAGATCCTCCTGAAGTGCCGGTTTATTCCCTTGGTTGCTTACTTCCGTCCAGTGTTTCATATCATCAATGAGAAGTAACAAACATGACGACATACGTTGTGGATGATCGTTTATATAAATCAAAAAAAGAAGAGGTCCTAGTACTGAGCATTGGATATCTCACTGAAATATTCCATAACCTGAGAGAAAGTGAAGTTAACCCACATCTTAAAATGTTGACTTTTTGGATATGAAGTAGGACAATCAACCTAAGGCGGTTTGATATCTAATAGTTTAGGTTTATTGACAAAACACATGTAGTTGAATCTATCAAACGCTTTTGAGAAGTCAAGATATATGATATAAACCTTCCACTTGTGATCAAAGATGGTTGTCCACCTGTCTACCGCGGTCATCAGGTTGGTCATACGAGAATGACCTCTCCTGAAACCATGCTGTTGAGGTGAAAACAAGTTTGAGGGTAATAAACAATCATGTGTACCGTCGCATAATAGGGAAGAAAGATTAGTTCAGCGAAGAGTTCTCTTTTCGGCGAATTCATTTTCAAAGCTGTACAATCGCAAATATATGTACTTATTTTTACATTGTGATAATAATACTGATAATAAGCTTCTGTGATACATAGTGACAGTGAGGTTAAATAAACAAACAAAGGTATTAGAAAAACTTTTTTAAAGCAAGCAAAGTTTGATAGTTAATGGCTTAAGTATTCATCGGGTAAGGATGGCTCAGCATGATAAAATAACATAAAATGTTGAAACAGATGAAATGTAATCGGAATGATCGTGGAAATAAGAACAAACCAGTTGGGGGTAGAATTTGAAGGGAAGATGGAAGGTGAAGCAGGTGGCTGTAAAAGAACAAGAGTATGAAAAAAGAGAAAAGAAATTTCAATACATTAAGACCATGGTAAAAGAAGAGGTTGTACCAGTCTCTTTTGTACACATAATTTTGGTTTTTCAAAATGTATGGCTATTGCCTCGGCAATGCAAAGAAGATGCAGTTTAATTGTCTTAGGAAGGCTTCTACTTACCTTGTAGATGAATTTGAACGCAGAATTTGTCTTGATTGAGTGACATGTGTTCACAAGGTGTTCGATTATAGAACTTCTTATTGAGCCGTTGCCTCCTCTTCTTAGCTACGCCGGACAATGTTCTTGAATTCTTTTGTATAAAGTACGCGTTAAACGACCTATATACCTAGCTCCACAAGAGCAGGTAAATTGGTAAATGCACATTGAGTTGGTCGGATGCGATAATTTATTTTTCAGATTATTGGTGAACAGTGACCGGCTGGAGAATAATATTTGCAATGTTGCTGCGAAGAATGTTCTTTTTAAAGAATCCAAAATTCTCCTCTTTAATATATATGCGGCTCTATCACCTTTGAAGTCGATTTTCATGTATAAAATTTTCTTTTCTACTGTAATTGTTTGTGGTTTTGGCATTTTCGGCTTCATGTTCTTATCAGTGAATATAGAAGGATATATGCTTTTGATAAGTATCTCTTTTAAAAAGCTTAATTCTTAATCTATGACCTCAGGGCCACGGATTCTTTGTATTCTTGTGGCGATGGGAACCCAACTGTGGAAATTTGATAGTTGGCCATTCCACATGGGTTTCCTGTTGATAGATCTTTCTAAGGTACCATCTTGTTTTCCTGTCACATCAAGGAAGTGAATATTTTGTTTGCTTTCAACTTTAAGTGTGAATTTTATTGATGGGTGACAATTATTAAATGTCTTTAGGAGATCACTTAAGTTACATTTGTTGTCACGAATGATAAAGATATCATCCACATGCCTTTTATACAAGTGAAGGTTTTCTATAATTCTTTTGAGTTGATTGTTTTCTAAACTGGCCATGAAGCAACCTGCCAGTAATGGACCAAGTGGGGATCCCATTGTTATACCATCCTTCTGTCTATGAATTACATCGTTGAATGTGAACTGTACATTGCAAGTACAACGTAGTAATAATTCCTTCAAATAAACCACAGGTATCTCAATGTTTATCTCTATATTGTTAATGTATTACAGATAAAATTAATGGCCTCTGTGAGTGGAACATTAGTGAATAATGATTCCACATCCAGAGATAGCATAATTTTGTCACTTACATTCACTTCCTTTATGTGCTCAAAAAATTCAAAAGTATCCTGTACGGAATGTTTACAAATGAGTTTTCTAACGGGTTCTAAGAGATTCGCCAACCACTTTGCTATAGGGTGGTAAGGGGATCCAGACATATCAGGAATCGGTCTAAGAGGTAGGCCAGGTTTGTGTATTTTTGGCAGACCGTATAATCGTGGTATTATTGACGCTGTTGGTTTTATGTGCACAAAGACCTGTTCGTTGATTAACTGTTCATTTTTCATTCTCTTAAGGACATCAATTAGTTGCTTTTCTATAATTTCAGTCTTGTTTTTCTCATTGATGGGTTTTGAGAATTTGGTGTCATCTGATAACAACGTTGTCATTTTTTCAACAAAACTCTTGCGATCTAGCAGCACTAAACCAGCACATTTATCTGGACGTGTTATGATCAAGTCTTTATTATTTTTAAGTAGTTTTATCTGATTTCTATGTTCTTTTGTTAGTAGACTTTTGCTTGTTACTTTTGCGCTAATATATTGGTTGCAGCTGTCAAGAAGAGTAGATTTGAAACGTTGAAATTCTTGATCAGAGATTGGATTAAGACCATTAGTTTGTTTGATCAAGTTTTCAAATTGAACATGTGTGTTGATTTTGTTAACTTTTTCATTTACGTCGCAGAATTTTATCCCCAAGGATAAGGCTTCTAATTGTACATTTGTCAACGATATTGAAGAATGATTAAACACATATCTCTAAGGGTTGTTAGGAAAGTTGTGCTACGTTTCTTTAGTTTTTAAACTTTTAGTGAGGTCTGATATTGCGTTTTTTGTGCGTTTGTCGATAACTGTGGTAACATAATCGGTGAAAAGACTGTGTTCATTAAGTGATAATTCATATAATACAGAAGATCTTTGTGAAATGTTCAGTTCCAATAACGGAATGCGAGGACGAGTCAATAACATTTTGTGCATGGCGGTTAAGAGATTTCGAGTTTGGATAAATATGGATTCTTCGAAGAATTTTCCAGTAGTATTTAGGATATTTGTGCATTTTAACGCAATCGTTAGGAAATGTAATTTTCGCATTCAACTCCGCAAGTTTGACAGAATAACGCGGAAACTCATCAAGTTCCTTTACTGTCGCTATATTCGGTTCCTAAGCTATTCTCGTAACCATCAAGCTAAAACTACACAGCGACCTGAACATGAGAGAAAAGGCGCAAAGTATGCGAGAAGTACTTTACTCGGAAGCTTCATTTTCGTACAGAAAATATAGAGTTTTTAAAGTATCTTAGATGTCCTTGGGTTTCCAGAAGATTCCAAAATGCTACTAAACATAGTACAGCGTAGTAATCAACCAGTTAGAAATCTTTTTTCACTTTCTTGATGGTTCTGGCTAAAACTTCAAATGGAGGCTGATAGGA